GGAAATAGGGCGGGGCGGCCCGAGGAGATGCGGGCGCCCAGTGCGCACGCGGGGGCGTGTGGAAGCAAAAAGAACAAAGGGGCTGCGGAGCGGGGCGGTACGGGCCAGCCCCGAAGCCGGTGCACAGAAGGGTCGTCCCAGCGTTTGCGGAAGCGGCGCCGCGGCGGCACGATGTGGTAGCGAAATCGGAATTAGTCGGGAGGCGGGGCGGGCAGATTTTGTTGTCCGAAAAGTTTGTCTGTGCGTGGGTGTCGCGCCCTCGTCTCTAGAGCCGGGGGTGTGGGTGCAGCAGGGCGGCGGCGTGCTTGAGGGGCGCGCGGCCGAACAAAGGAAGCTGGAAGCGCACGCCCCCGAAGGCCCCGACGCGGCGAAAACGGCGATGGTGCCATTTTGAACGGTGTCATTTTTTTTCTCCAGCGGGTGCGGAGTTTTGGCCCAGCTTGGGCGGTTGAAATGGTGGGGGTGAGAGGTGCTTATGCTGTGTGCTGGGGCTGCGGCGTTGTGCGCGGCTTGCGGCGGGGCCCACGCTATCGCCAATCTATGGAAAGTAATCATCCCGATGGTATTTCAATATTTTTTTTTTGTATAGCAGGGGATAGGAATGTTAATGCTGTATGTTATTATTATTATCATTATTTCGCTATGATTGTTCTTTTCTACTGTGATCTGTGGGGTGTGGATTACCTCATGGAAGCAAGTGTTTCATTTCTTGCTACGTGTGTAATGCAATTTGCCTTTTTTCTTTGCTTTTATTTATTGTTAGTAAAATAGGTTGCTATTATTCCATGAACAGGTTTCTCCGGATTTGGCTACTGTGTTGGGTGGTGATGTATCTTTCATTGCCTTCTTTCGCTTTAGAAGTTTTATCGAGCAATGTGAGCGGAAAATTTTGGTTGTTTCCCCTTGTGAAGGAGGTAGATGTAGTGGTTGCTCAGGTTTTTGGATTGCTGTTTCTGTGTTTTTTACTTATTGTCATGGGGCTTAGCTTCTACTACTTTTACGTTCAACGTAAAATCACGATGGTCCGACTGAAAATGAACTAACATTGCTTCTACTTGGTTAAGAACTAGGTCCCTAGCGAATGTGAAATGAATAATAAAAATAATACTGGAGTCGTTTATTGTGTGTCTGGTTAATTTTTGTTTGTTTGTTCGCTTCTGTGCATGTATTTTACTGTTTGAATTGTCTTGGTGTTGTCGAACTTACGAATATTGAATTGCCCTTGGGTTACTCTTTACCTGGTTTAGTCATCACACTACCACATGCATTATGAGGAGTTTGAGGTGATCACTGCCGCAGATGGCGTCTCATCACTGAGATTTGATATTGCTTGCGCCACAGTGATTGATCATTACATTCGGTGTACGGAACCACGTGTCAAGCAGGTAATTGACAAAGACGAGTCGCCATGTTCAACTGGTCTCCGCGTATATGAAGGTGCGCAGGTACTTGCGGCTTTTCTTGCTAGATTTGGAAGTGGGTTGCTGCCACACACATCTGAGCATGCCACGTGTGAAGATTCTAATCCCTGGATTGTCGAATTAGGTTGTGGTTGTGGCCTGGTTGGATTTACGGCGGCTGAACTTTTTCCGGGAGTTTCTGTGATGTTTACTGATGCTTCGGTTGACTGTCTTAATTTGATTGCTGCAACTGCAAAAAGGCATGACTTTCCACTGATTCAGGTCGGTGCTAATGGTTTTATTGAGGCCTTAGGGACTGACATGCATCGTGCTCTAGTTTCATGTCCGTTGAAGTGGTGTAGGGAAGACACAGTCCAACTTGTTTCTTTCATAGGGCGTCTTTCTAAGTCTTTGAAAGGTCCCAAAAGAGGAAGTGTGCAAATGGTGCTGGGATCCGATTTACTTTATTACCGGGCCGATATTAAGGCGCTTCTCACTACTTGCAAATGCCTTTTACGATACTCTGAGGATAAAGAGTGTAATGAGCATAATATTGGCTCTTCGGCTCCACGCGTAGCCGTTTTGTCTCACTTCACGCGTATGCCTGACGGTGACAAAAAACTACAGTTGACTGCGTACGAATTAGGGTTTGGCATTGCTCGTGTTCCAATTGAAACTTTTGTTGATGGAGATAGCATACAAAATCGTGGTTGGAACGGGATTTCGGTTGTGTTATTGTTTTTGCGTTCTTTTGCGCATACTGACGCAGGTTCTTTGGATATGATTAACTTTAGAGAGCAGCGTGAGGAAGAGGATCTTGCCGAAATCAAAAGTATTTTTTCTGAGGGCCATCTGCCTTTTCCAAGTGAGGTTTTGGCCTGTTACTCGAAGAAATCCTCAGGAGACAGACTTGACGACGCCGTGAATTATACAAATGGATATGAGCTTGGCAATCTTCCTTTTTGCTTTTGATGGCAGGGTTAACTTTTTCTTCTTGTGTAAATATTATGAGCTATTTTATAAAGAGGCACATCACACACAGTTAAAAACCGAAGTATCCTCTTTTTACCTCAACTAACGCAGTATGTTTGGTCTGTTTCACTTTCGGTTATGCGACTGTTCCTCTTTTACTCTGGGACAACTCCTTATTTATTTTTGCTTTGTCATTGATGCTCAAGTTCGTGCCGGGCGTTTGGCAGCAGCAAGTGACTAAAAGGACTCTAGGCATTGTACTTTTTCCTGAAGAACATCGGGTATTATTATTATTGTCGTTTTAAAATTGTACTTATTATTTTTGTTTGCCTATATTGATGAATGGAACCTTTGATCTACAATTTGCATCCTCTTCCGAGCGAGCTGGAGCTGGAACCAGGATGAAAGATGATGGGAAAGAAGCACAACTCACTCAGACTCCGATCCTTTTTCAGCCTTGTATCAACGAGCAACCTGCTGATGAAATCATCTCAATCAGCAACGTTGTATCGACTCGGATAGGAAATGAGAACCCTTTGGATGATATTCAGCATGTAGTTGCTTCCTTACCAAATGTCGAGGAAGTTTCGCATCGAGCTGAATCAATTCTTGGAGTTACTAAGGAGTCAAGAACGGCAGACACCACACAACACCGACCAGGTCATTCGTCCACCGAAAGTCTACGTTCCCCTACTTTTTTGGCATGTCCTGGGGATTTTTGTCCTTTGTATACTGAAGTTTTGCCAAATGAACATGTTGATACAGCTCAGAGTCGTGCAAGTAACGAACATACACTATTGACTGTAAACACAATGACAGAGGAGCCAAACATGACACTTTTACAGGGTGCAATCGCGCGAGCTGGAAGGGCGTGTAGAGAACGTCTCAGATTACGTCACTCGCCAATTTCTCTCCACTTGATGGCACGTGAGATGACAGCTATGACGGACGGAAACACATTACAAACCCATGACCCAGTAGCTACCCATCAGGGTGATAGAATCTTGGTTCTGGCATCCGACACAGAGTCTTCTTCCTTTTTGAATTTATGTGCTTGGGGTGAAAGTGTGGAACCAAGAGAGGATCCAGCTTCATATCAGACCCCAGCTCTTCGTCGAGAAAGCCCCTTGAACCCACAGGGATTGATGGTATTAGCCGTGCCGCATACGTCTGATTTTTTTTCAGCGAGTTCTTCTAATGTACAGAATAGATTTCACGTTGCTTTTGGTGTGACAGAGGACTCAAGTAACCCAAATTCAAACGCGAATCAATCTAATTCACGTACCGATAACCTTCTAATGGTTGACAGAAGCCTAAATACGCCCAACATGGGTGGCGAGTTGTACCTGCATACTGGGGGCTTGTATTCGTTTGGGGGTACACAAGGAGCTGCTGGGACTTTCAGGCAAAGAAGTGTCACACGGACGTTTGGAGTATCTCCTACTTCGCATAGTACAGTGAGCGGTATCAGTGGCAATGCAGCCGAGTACCCATTCACGCCCTTGTTTAGTAATAACCTGGACGGTAATTTGATTGGAGAAAAGGCGTTCCTCTTGTCTTCCTGTCAGGAGCAAATTCCACCCTTTAGAAAGCCTTTTGATGTAACACCTCTTTTTGAAAGGGCGGATTATGTTCTAGAAAATGCGACGACACCCCTTGTACCTGTATTACCTTCTTCACTTCCAGATAGCGAGGAAGTGGTCGGAACTTCACAAGACTCTCTTACATTGGGATCAATCTCTTGGTTGAATTCAGTTGTCGGTGCGGGTGTCAGGCGGCAACATGTGCGACACGGTGATCAAGACGTTGGAGAGGAGGACATGGGCAATTCGTTGGAAGTCACAGGGGTGGGTGGGGCGAAGGATTCAACTGGGGTGACAATTGGAGAAAGTAGTTGGAATCAGCAGACTACGTATATTGTTGATGCGTCATCAGGAATAATTAAACTAGCAAAATAAGCATACAGATGATCTTATATTTTTACCTTCCACGGAAGAAGTTGCAACTGCTATATCTGCAGCTTTACCCCGTGTCTCTCCACCACCGGAGTGTTTGCTTTTTGAGTGTGTTGTCTGTTGCTTACTTCCTCTCATTTATATATATTTTTGATGTTATGCTTTCGTTCACCATTCGCATATTATAAGAATGTGTTTTGGTGTTTACATTTTTTTTTTTGTTACTGATCGTTTTTTTTTTCCTTTTTTTTTCCCACTTGGCGATTATATTACGGGGTTTTCTTCCTTTCATTTTCCTTGCGCACGCTCATGCGTATCTCTTGCTATGTTTGTGTGATCATGCCGTGCTACTGCGGCATGTGACGCATGCGAGAACAAAAAAAGGGATGCATAAAATGAAGGAGTGAGGCAAAAAGTGATGAGTTCGGTTGTATTCTCGCATCATTCATGAAGAATTTGACATGTAACCTAAGTGATTGAAAATGGGTGTATTGTTTGGGTGCTTTTTTAAAACCTTATTTTCACTTTTTTTTTGCCCGTTTGGTGTGAAGCTTTGTGTACTCAAGCGCAAATCACAAAGCCTGACCGAACCAGACAAAATATCATTGGAAGCTGCGAAAGTGAACCCTTTTCGCATTTCTGTTCTTCCCTCCTTTCACTTCTCCCTCTGTGTCCCCTGTTTTGATTTACTTCTTTTTTTGGTTAGCTTGTGTGTGTGCGTGCATTTTTAACTTACTGAAGATAGTTTCTTTACTGCTACCACTACCAGCTGTCGCCGCCGCTCTCGGTGAAGCAAGTGTGGGGGCATATACGCCCAACTGTAGCGCACGCCGCATGACGTCAGCTGTTGGACTACAACACTAAGCTGCTTTCTGCACTAACTTTTTCGTAGCTACCCCCCCCCCCCCTACACCTTATTTCTCTTCACGGATTACTTGCCTACAGAGTGTGCGTCGCTGCGTGTGGAGAGCGACCGTGATTGCTAAAATCAACCATCACTGGTTTCCACACATCGCCGCAGCTTTTTTGTGGTCGCTATGCAAGCGAGAAGGTGCCACTGAATGACCTTGTGCTTGGCCTTCAACACTGGTTAGAGCAAGAGGGCTATTGCTGCATGGAGGGGCTGCAGCTACGCAATAAAACACCACCAATTCTCGTGGCCGTGGGGCGCAGCATGGGAGCTTTGACATGGGCTAGATTCTTGATGGACCAGCAGACGGACGCCGGCCGGCGAAAACGCGTTCTCATTGCTGGGTTCGTGAGTTTGGATAGGCTGCCGCCCAGTGGGCACCAGTTTCTGTCCTCGTTGCGCAACAAGTTATGTGACTGAGTTGATCTCATGTGGATAATGGATTTGTCGGCCATTAAGGATATGTGTTCCACCTTTGAGGAGTTTGATCGATGCGGGGTCCGCAATAAACACGTGCGCGGGTTTCTGAGTACAACTATTCAAATCGTTCGACCAGGTGCCGCGAGTCCTACCAAACCGGTTCCTTCCGCATCGTGCATGTGCAATATACATCTCTTGGAGGATGTCTTGCTTCAACGCTGCGTTTTATTCCCTGAGGCGTTCCTCCACGCTCGCACGCACGGAAAAATTGGTGTTCCTATTCTTTATATTTTGGTTGGAACGTCCCCTATTGGTGGAGGCCACCGGTATCGTGGAATGTGCCCCACCTTTGCAGTGGCTGTGGAGGAGCACGCTTTTGCACAGTGCTGGGCACAATGTCTACCACGATAACCCAGAGGCAACCACCCGGCTCACGCGGGATTTCTTGAAGAGGCTGGATAATCTCTACAATCCGTAGTGCCTAAATTTTTGTGGCAGTTACTTTTATACAAAACGAAAGAAAAGACAAAAAAAAAGAGTGTGGGGGAGGGGGAACGAATCAACTCGTGCATTTTGACTAAGGATGGGCTGGTTATAATGATTTATTTTCTTTTTTGCAGTATTTTTGTTTTTATTTGTTTTTTGAGATGCGAAGTCGCATTGCGGCAAATGCATTATATATATATATATATCGTTTGCCTGCCCCCGTTATCCTGTTGCTCCAGCTGCTGGAGGGGGAGCGAGCGACCGCGAAGGGAGAAGCCGCTCAAAATCACCCCTACCTCCTCAAGTGAAGGGGAAAAGAAGGAGCAAGTAAGTAAATGGGTCATACCACCACAGCTGCAGAGGTGAAACAGCGCCTAATAAAATATCTGGCCGTTGCCACAAGGTCGACGCAGCAGGTTGTCTGTGACCACGCCAGTCTAAACGTAGATGGGCTGCGTGTGATGCCATGCCCCAATAAGCTTAGCAACTGCGCAGCCGAGGCGGATAATGATGACACACTGTTGAATGCAGAGGGGTCTCGCATCTTGTGGCCCATGTGTGCAGACGCAAAACTCGCGGCATTGCCCGTGGGCAGTGGAGACGGTGTGGGGCCAGCAGGGCGTGCTGTTGGCCGAGATGTGCTGTGCTTTCTTATTGATACGCTCACATCTGCGCACTTGACTATAATGACAGGCAGGCATCGCCATGTATCCATGACAATAGGTGTGGAATTTGCGGAGCCGCTTTGCGTGGGGCAGCCATTCATGTTGACGAGCTGTCTGTTGCGGGTGGGTCAACGGATCAGTTTTTTGAGTGCTGAAATCCACCAGCAGAGGGGTGAACAGAAGGCCGCTGTGTGCGCGGGCGGATCACCTCAAGGCGTTCTACGCAGAACATCCGCAGCATGCTCCCCATCCGCCCGCGAGCAGGTTGTGATGGCTTTGACATCGTCGTCTGCCGCCCCTCTTGATTAGTTTTTTTTTTTTTGCTTTGCGTGTGTTTGTTTTCCTCCTCCTGCATCTTTTGCAGGTACGCTTCCCTGTTGTGTCACTTCTACTACCACGTTTTCCTTTTTTTTTTCTGGCCCCGCTGCCCCTGCCATGTGTTGGGGTGCCGCCTGAGTCGAGTAGCGCCGTGCGCCGAGGTTCCGGAGCCTCAAAGCTGTCTCTGGGCTGACTCTCTTTTGAAAGCGACAAAAAGCGTCTCTACGACCTGTTTAGCGTGTACGGTGCCGTTTGGCACATTCACATCCCGCACGATACCAACAGCCGAAGAGAGGGGTGCGGTGTTTGTTACGTATTTCGACGTGGAGGAGGCACACGCGGCGATCTTCACGCTCCACAGCAGGCGCAAGATGCTGGCAAACCGCATGCTTCAGGTGACGGACGCCAAGGGCAGTCCCAACAGTTCCCTCTTCGGCACGCACGCTGCGCTGGTGTTGCACCAGATGAGTCCTACAAATCCCCTGCCAAATATGTCGAACAACTCCACCGAAACTGTCAAGTTTCGCTGAAGGCAATGCATACTTTTAACGTTTTTTTTTTGTTGATGGGGTTTGGTGCGTTTGCATACTCCGGAAAAATACTGGAAACAATCTGTAAATTACTTTTTCTTTTCAATGCATATATATTTCCTGAACGTTTCTCGCTTTGTGTGCTTTTGTTTTTCTGAAAAAAAAAAAAAGTTTTTCTATTTCTTGTCGCAGTGTTGCGTAAAAGAACGTCCGCAGAGAAGGGTAGAGGCGGGGGCGAGGTGGATGTAGTCGCGAGAGGTGGAGAGAGGGGGAAGAAAAAGGGCCGGCAAGGAACATGCGGGTTGCTGATGCTGAATCTATGGCGGTTAAAGAAGGGAAGAAAATGTCACTTTCACGTTTTTTTTGTTTTTTTTTCGGTTCTTTTCGCGTCCCTGCCACCGTGTACGTGTTATGTGCGAAGGGCGGCTGGCACTAGTGGCGTGTTGAGCGACGGCGAACCCCTCCTTTTTGTCCCGTGCCGCGGCTACATTTTTGCAGTTTCATCGGGAGGACGCGCTTCCCGCTGTGAGTGAAATAATTGGCTGGGTGCCATCCTCCTCCTCCCCTCCCCTTCATGCTGCGCTTTTCGCCCGCCCGCATGGAGGAATGGAGTCGGCTACGAGGCCGCCTGTGCACATATTATTTCCTTCGCTGTTGTGCTGAAACATCCACTCTCGTCTGGCAAAGTTGCTTCTCCCTCGCTGAGGTTAAAGGGAAGAGAGAAAGCGCATAGGAATACTATTGCCCATTTCCACTCACGTTCGTGTATCAAACGAGGCGGAGAAACGCGGCGGTGGACGTCCAACCCGACTCGGTGTGACAGGGGCGGCAGAGAGGCAAAAAAAAAAAAAAGTGAGGCGATGCGCTGGGGCGCTCGCGGGGTGGGGGTCGCCCTAGTAGGGGGCGGGGCATTGGGTGGGGCCACGTTGTGGTATGCCACCCGCGGCGGCGCAGCGGGAAACACCCCTCCGCCTCAACTTTCCGCAGATGAGTTCAACGCGCTGCAGAATGAGGCGCTTCTTGCAGAGGCCTTTGGGGCCAAACATCTGCCTTGGAACCCGAGCCCCCAGGGGAGGCGAGGCGGCGGAAGCAGCCGCGAGGGCAGAGACTTCAGCCTGACCCTGTATCGCCTCCTGGGGTGCCCGTACTGTGCGAAGGTGGAATGGGTTCTCCGCTACCATTCTGTGTCTTTTACGCCTGTGGACGTTGACACCCTCTCCGGCGCAGGGCTTCCGGATCCCCGCTACAGCCTGGTGCCGCAAATAAGCTTGGCGCCAATCGCCGATGCCGAGAGCAGCGCGCCAGCCGATGCAATGGGGGTTTGCCTTGTGGATTCTCAACGTATTATTTCTGCCATTTCCGTGCCGCTGGGGTTTTCGGAACAACTTAAGGAGCCGCGCGTTGTGGAGACGCGCCGATGGATCACGGAGCGTTTCCAGGCAGTGAGTTTCATTGCGTCCAACAACACCTGGAGGAACGCATTTGCCAGCTACCCCTATGTAACACCACCACGCTATCACAACATCGTCTTTCGCATCGTGGGGGCGTCTGCCCTGTGCGTTTTGTCGCGGTATAAGATTTTGCCTGGCCTTGTAGCGAAGGGAGCCGATGCGCGCGACGGATTGTCCGTGAAGGATCCGGCTGCGTGGCTGGAGGGGGAGCTTGCCGCATTCACCGCGCGGCTACCGGGCCGTCCCCCTCAGCGCTTTCACGGCGGCAAGGAACCCGACGTCGCCGATGTGGAAATGTATGCCGTGACGCGCGTCCTGGAGGCCCACCCAAGGCTGAGGCACGTTCTCCACCAGGGGGCCTTCGGCGAATGGAGCGCCGCGATGGAGGACGAGATGAGGAGGCGGATGCAATTGAAAGCCTGATTTGCAGCGGGCGCGTGCTTGCGGTTTCAGTGGTAGAAGCGGGCAGGTGTTCCCTGGGGGTCCTACGGGGAGGCGGCTTTCAAGGCGGCGACCGACCCTGGCAATAAAGCGTTGTTCGGCTCCCTCTTCGCTCTCCCCCAAGCCCTCCCATTATTATTATTATTATTATTCCCACCCTCGTCGTTGCCCAGTGTGTGGGCGGTTCCGTGCGCAAACCCGCCGATGTGGGGTGGTCCTTCCATGCTTCTTCGCGCGCGCCGAGTTTGAAGAGGGCGCGGAACTTGGGAGGCGGCGCGCAGAAGAATGGCGGTGCATGCGTACACGCTTCTTCCCTTGGGTGCCGGCGCCGGGGGTGCCGCCGAACGGCGCGCCAGCAGCAAAACGAAAAAGCAAACGCCCCCACCCAGGCAAACCAGCGAGAGAGCGAGCAGGATCATAAAAACTGTGTGTCATTTTTTTTTTTTCCTCTTGTGCGCGTGTGCTTTGCCTGGTGTGCGGTTCTTGTCTGCGCGAAAGGGTTTTTACAGCTAGGCAAAGCGAAAACAGGGGGGGGGCGCCGCGCCCGCGAAAGTAATGCGACGCCTTGGGCGGAAAACCGTGGCAGCGGCATTGAAGGCACCAGCCGGCACCACTATTCACCGATGTCCATTCGTTTTTTTGCTGGCGATTGTCGTCGCCGGCGGCTCTGGCCCCCCGAAAGTGAGAGGAGGCCGCAGCGTCTGGGGCCGTGGGCCGCCCGCATTTTCAGAGCGGCGCCGCCAGCCCCCGGCGGCAGTCGGTTTGCGCCCAGCTGCTTTCGTCCTGCGCAGCCAGCCGGGGGCGTATGTTCTGCCGCGCCCGCACCCAGCTGGGGCCGAGGTTTTCTTTTCTCACATTTCCGCTTCTTGGGGGGCGCGTGCCGCGGTGGTGGCCGGCCTGCGGGTCACCCGGCAACTCGCAGAGGGCTGGGAGAGGGGGCTGGCTTCAAACAAAGCAGCCGGTGCCCCAGCGGGCGGTAGTTCGCAACAACCGGTGGCAGCGCGTTGAAAGCAAAAGAGAAAAAAAACAACGGGCCCGCACGAACGAACGTTTAAGTATGAGCGCGCTGCGTGTGTGTCGCGTGAGGTGGGGCGAGAGCCCGCGCAGGAGAGTACACACAAAAAAAAAAGAAGAGGAGGACGGGCTGCGCGCGGCTCTTTCTCTCACGCTGCC